AGGCGCAGGGCTCCGTGGGGAGCGGGTGTGGCTCAGTGCGCATGCGCTACAGCCTATGGCTCGAAGGATTCGGGGTAAGGTGAGAGGATCTGGGTCTGAGGTAGTTGGGGCTATGGATAACATCTCACTTTTTTGCTCCTGTGCGCTAACAGTGCCCCTGTCACAGAGGTGCCAGCATTCCCAGTCTCCTCAGAAAGCTTCTCTTTCCTGTGCCCTTCTAGCTTATTGTCACCCAAATCGCATCTACCTATTTGTCTCCAGGCAGTATCCTGGGGGAAGAAGTGGCCTGTGGGCAGTGTCAATTTGCTCTCTAGTGTGCCAGTAGGTTCATAGGCCCAGAGCTGTTGTGAGGAGTGAAAGATTAGAAGTGAAATTCCACATCGGACTCTTTCAAGTCGCATATAGGATATAAAGGTGGGCATAAACGTGGGAATATTGTTCCAATGGCATGACAGCTGTGGGACTTCGACTCATAGCATGCATGTAACTATTAACTTATTAGCCCTCCAAAATGAATCTAATGCATCAGGGGGCTTCACTGACTACAAATCTCCCACATCAAACATCAAGTTGTATTGGAAATAGCCTACAACATTTAAGTTAGATCATCTCAAAGGTACAGTCATTTCTCATTTGTGTTGGTTATTATGTAAATCGAAGCAAGCCTCACCCAGTTCTCCAGTGTAGTGTATCCCAGTATTGTGCCAGCATTCAACAGTGAGTTGAGTAGCCTAACCAGTGAGTGTGTTGCCACAAGATGAGCTTTCCCCACAGCTCCACCAGTGGCTCCCTCTCTGTGCAGAGTGCCACCAGGACCACTGTCATCCAATGACTAGTCCTACCGCTCTTCCCCCACTCATCCCTGCAGTAATCCTTCTCAAGACTTGCTCTCAACTTGCACTACTGATTTTGAGCATTATTTCCCCAGGGCAACCAAACTGACGCTATCAATTTTCTTTTCTATCTTTTCTCCATCATCACATTAAAGTATACTGTTTTCAAAGACTCACCCTCTTCATGGTACTGCCTCCTTCCATACCCCCATTCCCAACATCCCCCAACCAAATACAAAGATTTTAATCAGCCTATATGGGTGCAGGCATAGCAGATTCAAAATGTTTCAAATGTGTTGAAGAAGAAAGAAAGATGGGGAGCATTGGTTATGCCAATTCTTAATTCACTTTACTGTTCAAGACTGAGAACCCTACTTGGAAAAAAGAAAAGTGAATAAATGATCCTTAGAGAATTTTGTTAATCTATTTAGGTGGGAGATAGGAAGAGAAAATGTACCTCTAGGATATTTGAGTCAGTCAAAACCAGATCTTGCTCTGAATAGGACCAAAATCAGAATAAGCCTTTTGGTCCAAATCCTAATCTGATATGGGACCCATACAATATGCATAAGGAATTTGACTTTCCTGTTAAATGTATTTAAGATTATAAAGAATCTCTTTGCCTGCTTAATGCTATTTTGGACAAGGTTTGGCTTAAATTTGGCATTTTTTGCTGAAGGGAAAAAAATAATTTTACTTGTTTTTATACTGTGCTAAACCAAAAAAAAAAAAAAAAAACACCTCACTGCCATCAAGTCAATTCCAACTCATAGCAATCCCCATTGGGTTTCCAAAGTGGTAAATCTTTACAGAAGTAGATTGCCCCATCTTCCTTCCACGGAGTGGCTGGTGGGTTTGAACTGTCAACCTCTGGTTAGCAGTCAAATGCCATAGGCACTATGCCACCAGAGCTGCTTTTATACTGTGCTAGTTCTTTTTAATTTATGTCCTAAAGGACATCATAGACATTTTCCAAGGATGATTAATTACCTTTTGGGGATGCCAGCACCCACTGAAAACAAAACCAAAAGCCAAAGCCATCAAGTTGATTCTGACTTATGGTGACCCCTACTGGGTTTCCAAGGTGATAAATCTTTACAGCAGTAGATTGCCTCATCTTCCTTCCACAGAGCAGCTGGTGGGTTTAAACTGCTTACCTTATGGTTAGTAGTCAAAAGCCTTAGGCATGGCACCACCAGAGCTGCACTTATTTTTTTGTTGCTAATGGAAAAATGTACATAATTTTTCTAAAAAATAATTGAAGGTAAGGGGAGGAAAGCTAGAGCATTTTCAATGACTTTTGACAGGTGGCATTCTTGTTAAGTACCATCTGGAAAATGGTCCAGATAAGTCCATAAAGTTTTGCTCTTTAGTCATCTTCTGGATGATAGTATTTGGACATCTTACAGAACTGTGGATCTGTTGTATCTTGGCATCAATTCAAAGGCATTCCTTTCAGGCACCTATCTAATCAGTCAATTCATCAACGGATTTTTACTGATTATCTCTATTGAGGACCCTGGTGCTACATGCTGAAGGAGCTTCAAAGACATACCAATAGGGACTTTACTATCAAGGAATTTAAAATGCAGTCGTGTAAGAAAGACATACTTTGAAAAAGATTGGTGACAAAATAAAGCAGTATGATACGATTTCAACTGTAAACCATGAGAACTTAAGCTTATATGTTAGTCTTTAAACTACTTAAAGGAAAGACCTTGTCTTAAACACTTGAGTATTTCCAACAATCTACATCCAGTGGGTGTTCAAATAGGGAAGTTTTGCAAATTAGATTGGATGGGGAGAGACCAGAGGCAGAGAGAGAAGCGCTAGGAAGCTTTCACAATAAATTAGATGTGAGATATAGCCCAAGATGAGGATGGTAACAGAGGACTAGAAAAAGATATGCAGAGAAAAAAGAAGGATTTAGTGGCTGGAGGTGAAGAGACAAGCCTAGACTGTACCCATTTCTACTTCTAGCAAACAAATGGGAGTTAGAGACAGCAGAGGAAATTGGAGGATCTCCTTAGTAAGAACATAGCACACAATAGACCCTCAAATGTATGCTCAAGCATCAGGAGTAGGATTGGACCAGAAAACCCTTACGATCCCTCCAACACTGAGATACTATGCTGTATGCACAGGCATTCTAAAAGATAGATTGTTGGGGAGCAAGGCATTCTCAGATATGGAAGAAAGAGAAAAGGAAGAACTATTATCCTTCCACTGGCGGGCCCTTCATGAGAAGGGTTAATATAGGCTCACAAGGCCCCTGCCCGTGAATGAAAGGTAGCGTAAAGACAAAAGGAACAAAACTCTCCAACCAATTTTTCAATAACTACTTACAAATCTTTGCACATTTCTTAAATTATTCACCTTCCCCCAAATCCAGTGAGTAAGTAGGACAGGTATTATCAGTTCTATTTTTATATTGGAAGATACTGAACCATAAAAATTTAAATGACCTGCCCAAGCTCATAAAATAAATAGTCGACCAGTGATGACGACCCTGATGTCCTGACTGCTGCCAGCCCAGAGCTCTTGACACTAAAGCACATTGCTTTCCCTCCCTTTTCCTAGTATAGAACCTATGTATCCAGAAGTTATGTGTGCACATGACCAAATAGGGAATGCAAAGGCAACTGCAGTGTTATCTCAGTTAGTTATTAATACTTCAAATGTATTCCTGGTGTGGAGCATTTGGTTTCCATATTCACTCAGTCCTTGACCTACTGCTTCAGTTTATCTGCAGCTGGGAAAGTAGGGTTAGTGAGCTGTTTAATGATGTGAACACCTGTTCTCGGAACTTAAGGAAGCTCATCTGGCATGGACCCTTAATACTAGTGATCAGTATTGTGCCCAAGTTTATACTTCCTTTTGTGACTTTTTTAAGGGAGAGTTCAAAAGTTCGGCTTTGTAAAATTATCCCACAGACCAATATTAAAAAAAGAAAGGAAGGAAAGAAAGAAGTGTGCTAACACTTGTTTCATCTCCATTTAAAGGAATGTTTGTTTACTTGAGCTATTTCCAAAGACGGCGCTTCAAAACAAGAGGACAAAAATCGGGAATAAGAAGAACCTTGAGAATTCTGTGGAGTAGTGATAAACCAAAAAGGAGGATAAAACCTATTAATACAGGCGATATTATTTAAAGTCATAATTACTGACTTAGCTCTCTAATGAATCTCTTATTATATGCTTTGTATCTGAAACATTTAACATGAGATTATTATGCAGAAGCAATTTTTTTTCAACTTTCTTTATTCCTTAATAAGAAAGAACATTCGACAAATCTAGGAACTATTTTCCTTTTTAGACCAGTACTCTTGGTGCTGCTTAAATAAGACCCTTGCCCTAATTAAGCTTAATATTAAACAAAGATGTGTCTGAATTTAGTAAATTTTAAAAATCCAGCTGCATACTAAAGCCTATATTCAAGACCAAGCCAAAAAACCAAACTCACTGCCATCGAGTTGATTCCAACTCCTGGTGACCCCTATTGTGTTTCCAAGGCTGTAAATCTTTACAGAAAAAAATGGCCTCACTTCCTCCTGTGGAGCAGTTGACAGGTTTGAACTGCTGACCTTCTGGTTAGCAGCCAAATGCATTAACCACAACACCACCAGAACTCCTTGTATTCAAGACAGATAACCTAAATTAATGAATAAAATAATTAGTCAGGAGAATACATGTGTAAATGAGGAATCCCCCATCATAATTTTCCTTCTCTGATCTTGTGGAATCAATTTTTGAGGCACAAATAACTTTCTTGGAGATGGGAATTTTGATCGATATAAAGGGAAGTAGTTTCATCTCTGATTCAGGATTTCAACATATCTTAGATTCCTCTGGGCTTTTCCCTTTCCTGAATATCACCCATTGAGACAATCACCTATTTACTTTGATTTACTTTACTTTCAAGGGAGAGACAATACGAAACAAGAAAATCATATAAAGTACAGTTAAGTACAAGACAGAGCTTCCAATAAAATCCTTTTGCCCATGTTTGTAGCATTTTGAACTCTTAAGTATATTTATGAAAAGCATTCTCTGTATTTAAATTGAGGTATCTCTGTTTTCTTTTCTGATTTTAGTGTATTTGTATATCTATAGCCTTAACTTTGTTTTATTATATATCTTTTAAAATAATGCTTCACAATCTCTTTTAGAACCCTAAAAAGAAAGACTAAACAACAGGAAAAAGAAAAGACTAAAATTGTGATAAAGACCTAACTGGGTAGGTATTTCATGGGGGCACACTATGTTTTTTTTTTTTTCATTTAACCTCATAAAAATTAATAACTAGAAAAAAATTATAGTTAGTACATATGCACACCAAAATTATTTGTCTGTTGTTAGGTGCCATGGAGTCCGTTTCAACTCATAACGACCCCATGTGAAAGAGTAGAACTGCCCCATGGGGTTTCCTAGGCTGTAATCAATCTTTATGGAAGCAGATCACTGGGTTTTTCTCCTGGGAGCCACACAGAGAACTCACACCTCCAACTTTTTAGTTAGCAGCCGAATGCTTAACCATTGCACCACCAGGCCTCTTTATTTTAAGGCCTACTGTGTTGTAAAAATATATATATATTACAAATATGTGTGCCTCAGAAGCACTTCTTCATGGGCTCCTTTCATTAATGATTACCTTTTCATCCCTCTGGATTTCTTGCATAAATAATACCTCACCATTGTTGAGTTCCCACAGTTGACCTAGTGTACAAGTATCTACAAAAAAAGTACCTAGCACAAGGTAGCTGCTCAGTAAACATTTGATCTTTTTATTTTAAGATGCATTCTAAGCATTCCATGCATAGACATGCTATAGGGGTAACAAGAAGGGTACTACATCATTATTAGCACTTTAAGTTTAC